ATGTGATTTAACCGGCCGTGAAAGCCTTCATAGACTCACTTTTTCATTTCCTCCCCACCCAGCGCCGTGCTCTTTGCCCAAAATCTACCATGGCCAGTACATGTCTGGATACAGGGCAGGACTCACTATTGCAAACGGATCTTCAGTAACCTTCCAATGTGAGGAAGACTACGGGCCTTCAAGTGCGCAACCATTAGAGTGCTTGCTGGGTAAGCCTTTCACACAAACCAAGCATTTCTTCACTAGAGGAACCCTCCTCCCCAGGTGAACTGCACCCTCGAAGCCCGACTTGCCGCAAGGAAGGCGATCTCATCCCAGAAACGCACTATTTGGGCGGAAAAGACATCGTAAAGGGCGGAGACATTACTGTAATTGAGTATGGACGCTCCAATGGGAAACCTTGCGGTCCTCCCGCCAAGTAAGTGGCACCTTTTTAGCACCGTAATCGTGAGGGTTTCCAGTGGGTAAATTCACCATACACACAATGTTTCCTTTTCCAGGGTTCGAGCCTCATTAGTTTACCAAAACGGAATCCCGTTGCTCGATGATGAAAACAATTTCCCGGATGGAAGCGAAGTGAGTTTCAACTGCATCGAGGGTCTGATGGGGGAGCGAACCACTTGGAAAATAGTCTGTGAGGATGGCAGCTGGATAGGCCGCTCCTTAAATTGCGGTAGAACAATGCAAACCTCCACATCCACAAACTAAAATTTCGTCGAATTTCCTTTGTAGAAGCTGAGGAAATCATGGCATCGCAAACCATCATCAACAACAGCACCTGCGTGTTCAGGAACCAGGAACCCAACGTGATTTCGTTTTACAACGACCAGCAAATCAGGGAGGCGATAGTGGATTTTCCTGCGGGAGCAATTTTGGTGTCCAGATGTGTGGATATTGGCAAATACGCAATGGCTGGTAAGTGTGCGGGCAAAGTGGGAGACCAACAGCAAGAACTCTGATTGGTTTAGGCCCCCGGCGGAGACGATGCATGGGAGGAGAGTGGGACGGCCCCAAACCAGCCTGCTTCGGCCTCAACCAGGAAAACGACTATTCCATGGAAAAACCGCCCACGATCCTATTCCGGCATGAAAAGGGGCCGATCGGTACCATCCAATAATCCACACCAATTTCCCGATTAATTCCCTAATGTTTCAGCTCAGTCAAATGATGGGAAGCTCATAGTCTATCCAGGCACCATTCTCCACATGGAGTGTTTATGGATCAAGCGATTTGGGAATCCCAAATGGAACGTTAGTCATGAATATAGGTGCAAAACGAACACGAATGGTAGGCGGTTGTCAATAAAAAGTGCATATTTGTAGGGAATACCTGCAGGGGTGGACCACCGACGTAGGCAGGGACTCTCAGCTGGAATACAGACTGTCGATCATCCATGCTACCGAAAACGATTCTGGAATATTCACCTGCACTACGCCTGCTCGATATGATCATGCCATTGAAGTGGTGGTCAAAGGTTTGGCTCCAGCAAACCCTCTTCCATACAGAGTGAAATGACGAGTCGCTTTTCAGCTGTTCATTGTCCAAATTTACCTCAAAGGCGTGCATTAAATGCAAGCACCCACAGCACCAAAATGAACAGCATCATCCAGTTCGGCTGCAATGATGGCAATTCTTTGATTGGTGCTCCGGAGGTCACCTGTTTGCCCTCTGGAAACTGGAGCGCGCCATTTCCCATATGCGAAAGTACTGGTTTACTCTCTTTTTTAGAGTTATTTTTAATTCGACTTTTGGTGAACATTTATTCATACTTTTTATTTGAGAATTATTTTCCAAACCTTCAAAAAGAGACACCATTATTGCAGGATTTTTCGCAATCACACACTGTTTTTCTAAGAGATCGTAACTTCGACTCCAGACCAAACAGCTACTTGTATTTTTCACCAATTATAGGCGATTCTTACTCCTACAGACCACAAAGTTCTGATTTTTGCCGACTTTGTGAATGATTGACTTGAAGCAATACGCGCGCGGTTTAAAAAAATCGTAACTCCTAATCCAGAGTCAGTAGCTTCTTCAAACCTTCACAGTTTATAGCAGACCTTCAAAGCAAGACCATTAAAGAACGAATTAAAAATATTTTCTTCAAAACAAAATTCTTTCGCCGGGCCGGAAAGCAACATAGAATCACAAAAGCTGTGGAGTCGCCCTTTAAAAACCGTTTGTAATCATCATAAGAGATAGACCTTCGAGGCCATTCCTTGAAATTGAAGGGGTTTTCAGGCCGTCGTTCGGTAGAATTTCTTCCTGACGTTTCGCAAGCACGAGTGGCTTGCATCTTCAGAAGTGGTTTGCTTGAACGCTTACA